AGTTGGGAATATACATAGGGGATGCCAACTGACAATGTGGAAGAATAATGTAAGTCAAAACCGAGATCAAAAGCAAGCCTGAATGCATCGTAACTAAACGTCAAATATCAGAAAAGTCTCTGGGTTGGAATGTCAAAAGTCTTTGGCTGACTGTGTGCGTGTGGGAGTGTGATTCAGGCACAAGCACATCAAGATGTCACTTCATAACCTCTGGCTCAGGAGGCTCCTGTCATCTTCACATTTCAGAGATCCTCTGCCTGCCCCGCCAGACATGCTAAATATAGAATGGGGACAGAATTTCTGTTCGGAGCCACTGCTCTCTTTATCTACATGTAACGCTAGCTTATGTGTTTATGTGCACGGCCATTTTCCCACTGTTATTTAATTATGCATGCAAACATACACGGATCAGCATCAAGTGGCGCTAAGACCCTTATTGCACTCAAAGTGTAAAGGTTTCGATCTCTTATAAGAGGTGCTCACTCTTTCCAATTACATTTCTGTCTGAGGTCTCAGACTATGTTATTGTGCCCCGGATAGTCACTTTAAAATTCCTTCATTCTGCCCAGCAGAGCAATCAATCACTCGTCTTTACCTGGCCAAATCTCCAAATGCACAGCTCTGTAAGAGCGAGAAAGAGTTACTTTATTTGACCTTGTTCCGCTTCTTACTTCGTCTGGGCAGAGTTACCGAAGGGAGCAGAAGAACTCTCTGTGGCAATTAATTGTGCTACTTATCTGTAATGTGAACACTGGATATTACATCTCCACCAGATATTAATTTAAGGATGTCTCAGGATGGGCAAAGCCAAAGCTAAATATAAAGAAAAGGCAATATTAAACAATATTGATTCTTTTGTAATGTGATAACCACGTTTTTGGCTCTTTTTTTTTTTTTAACTTAGTCATTGTTCTCATTTGGCGAAGCTTTCAGAAGACAGGTTTCCTTTTTGTTACTTTGTTGGAGAGAACAATCAGGCAAATTATAGTAATTAGCTAAATGAAATTGACAACATTCAATCGGAAAAGTATACAGGGAGGAAAAAAGACTCACCGTGGCAACAACAGCTCTATTAATACCCAAGGCACATGCGTGTGGTTATTTTAAGAAAGCAGGAAATCTATTATTAGCTACAAAAATGCAACTCTAGTATAATTTAATAAGTAATGTTGGGACTTTACTTGAAATTACTGGCTGTAAATTCAGGCTATTTTGGAACAAGTCAATACATAATTTTGGGTTTATGAAAAATAGAGCCAGATTTGAGTCATATTCTTAAATAACCCCATGTTTTCTTCTTGTTTATTTCCTCAAGCCGAGTGAATATTCCAAAGATTAGTTGCTAAGCATTTGTAATAAGTCTTTACTATATTGTTGACGAGTCTCTGTTATGTAGTTTTAATGACTAGACAACCAAACATAGACTAAATAAAAAAATGAGTTAGCCTTGAGGTGGCTAGTGTCTGTCTGTTTCTCAGTCATGTTTTCTTTTTACACAGTTCAACAAAAATAATGTAGTTCAAATGGTTGAAAAGTTGTAAAAATGTTCAAAATAAACATGTTGCAAAGAAAAAAGAAGGTTTGATATTTAAATGACATAAAACTACTCCATCACTAGAACTGTACCCGTCTTATCTCCGTGTCCTCTGCTCTGATGTCGCTAACAAACTCAACAGTTTCTGTCAGAGACGTATTCTGTACCTTTGCCGGTAGAAATTATAATTATAATACGTCCAACAGGTAATGTTTGGAGGCTGGTAAACATTATTGGCCAGGCAGTTTTGGAACTAGCTCTACATGGATGTTACTAAGTGTACCTGCACACTTACCACGGTACCTGCATACTTACATAGACCCTCAAATTCTCAAAGGAAGATTTGGGATTTAAAGCTCAAATCTAAACATGTCACACAAGAAGTAGCCTAATTCAAATGACTGGACCACGTAACCTATGTGGAAAGCCAAAAGTGACACAAATGAGTAAATCCAAAAAGTCCAAAAGTTATTAATACATGGGAATTTTTTTTCTAAAATTGAATTTGCATGCATAAAATATATTAATAAACAGTAAGTTATTGACAGCTGGAGAAAGGCAACAGTGCACCTCCTGCACCCAATGGATGGATGGATGGATGGATGGATGGATGGATGGATGGATGGATGGATGGATGGATGGATGGATGGATGGATGGATGGATGGATGGATGGAATAAATTATTAGTAATTATTTCATATTTAGTTTTACTTTATGGTCATTTCTTGAAGCGCATCATTTTTTTTCTCTCATAAAATATCATAAAATAAAACCTACAAGAAATTTGACGTCTTGAAATTGGCATCTGTCTCTTCATGAAGATCGATCATTCACAATTTACCGTGCCAGTAGTTTGTATAATCAGCTCAACAGACATGCAATTCCACCAGGTGTGCCAATTGCTATACTGAAGGAAGGAGTCACAGGGGACGGGAGCTCTGTGAGCCGGAAGCTGGACTGGAGACTACAGCTCCAAGGGGAACGTTTGTAGAAATAGGCACATTGTATGAGCAACCTCCAACTGGCTGCCACAGAACATTCAATGATAAATAATATTCTTCTTTAAATAGTTCCATAATGTAGTTTTGCACAGGAATCAAAATAGTAATAAAAAAAACTGCATTTTCCATACCATAAACAACTATATGTGAAAATACATTCTGGTAATGCTTGTTTTAACATTAAAAGTGCCTTTAGAGCAGGTTTTAAGCATTTTTTTTATTATTTAGCCCACATTTCTGCATTAAACTGCTTTGCTTTGGTCTGATCTAATATTCTACATTCTATTCTAATCATTGTAATGAACATAAAGCCTTAATAACATCAGTCTTTATGCGATGTACATTGCTTAAGTGAGTTGCTCCAATAAATGAACTTGTCAACAATTTTAAAATCTACTGAATATGGCTGTATTTGATTTTTTAATTTTTTTTTTAAATTTTCCAATTATGATTCATCTATCTAATGAACATTTAAATTTAACATTATGGAATGGACAGCAAGGGCAAGAGCAAGAGAAGTGGGAGGAGAAAAAAGAAAATAAAACACAGAATATATTATGTCATTAAATGGTGAATATAACATTAGCTTCTGGTAATACAGAATTTTGTGGGAGAGGGCCCATCTGAAATTATTTTTGTTTAGCCTAGACGAGGCAGTCAGTTGGCCTGCTAGCAGTAACTGAACACAAACTGCTTTGACGACAAAATTCCTGGTGTTTTAATACTGTGAGATCTTACGCCCAAAGACCTTGTTGTACGAGCGCTGGCTTAATTAAATTTATGTCATTGTTACGAAAAATAGACAAAATCACAAAAGACAAAAAGCGAAAAGCAGACGACATGCAAAATAGAGTCAGAACAGGTGAGCATCTAAACCTTTCCAGGTCAGCATACATCTGTGTCAGCAAAATGTATGTATTGTTCAGTGTTTTATAACAATGGCCCAGGGTCATACAGTGAATGTGAAGCTTTGCTATATATATATATATATATATATATATATATATATATATATATATATATATATATATATATATATATATATATATATATATATATTGCTATTGTACACACAAACAATACATCTATTTATCTTCAGAGGGACTTTACTTTGACTTCCATTTGTTTTTATTCATTTCTATAGCTTAGCCCTGGCCATCGCCCTAAATCTAACCATTATCAGTACATGCATAGCTCTAAATCTAACCTAAAATCAATTCATACCTTAGTCCTAAGCCTAACTTCTAACTCTAGTACAGCATTTGTTCTCATGGCGCCTGGATTTTGGGCCCTCACAAAGAAGCAGGGAAGGGAAAAATGGGACTTACAAGGTGAGAAAGGCTAAAACACACAGGCACAACCAGAAACAGCTTCTAAAGAGAACAAACTCTTACAATCCTTAGCTAAAAACGTGTTGGGTTCACCCTCTCCACTCTATTATTTTTAGCAAATAGAACAAAACCTTAAAGTCAAACTCCAAAGGATGAGCATAGGTGAAAAGCTGCCGCTGTGAAACCCTTCACTCTCAACCACAACATAAGAAGCTTGAAACTTTTTTTTATGTCGGTCACTTTTATTCAAAGACTATTCCTTTTCCTCTCGGTTTCACTGCAGGTATTAGAGCAACAGTGAGGAGTGCTGTGCAACGCCACTTACTGGAAGTCATTTTAAAACTCTGGCTTGCACTGCAACAGAAACTTGCAGTCAGTGGAGTCACAGTGGAATCGAACATTCCTCATTTAGTTGTATACCTGAAAATGCCTCTGAACCATTCTGCAGCAGAACTTAGTATCAACACAAGAAACATTACACTTACATTTCTTGACATGCAATGTAAATAACAGCTGGTGGTTTACTACTATGAAAATTAGAAGTCTTAATTAAATTTGTTAATAAGTAATTTGGGCATTTGCAGAGTTATATCCCTGACAGCTATGAACGACAATGCAAAATAGGTAGGGAGTACATGCATATATTTGTTTACATTAGTTCAGGATATCCCTAATTGGATTTTTATTACTCACAACAGGCCTTCCTCTGAAGAACATGTGTCAGTACATGCAGGGTGTACAATATTGGGGAGCAGACTTAAAAGGAGGGGTCGAGAAAACTTTTGTCCCTTTAATCTTTGCCTCATCAAAATAGGTCCTCTTAAGAGAAGAGCAACACATATGCTGAAAATTAAAGCTGACTTCTGCTTTTTCTCCACGTTTTCCAACAAATATGACAGGCAGCTTCTTTGAAACCTAACGTGCCATTGCCTACTACAAGGCAATATATTCTGACATCATTCCGAAATGAAGCAGTCAGATGTGCTGTTATGACGCCTTAGACAATAAAAGATTGGAATAAAATATGTACTCAGTCAATCCACTTAGACTGCATTAGAGAGAATTGTGACAGGAAGGCGCTCCTTTCTAATTAGCTTAATGTCTGATCTCTTAAAGAAACACAAAGTGACTTACCGAGAAACAAAGAACGCAAGATTGCAGACATCACGGCTGGAAATCCCAAATGCAACGGAGCAGAAAACAATGCGCTCAGACCGCCTTCGGATTCATTCGGCTGACCTAAGCGCAAGCACGGCGAGGCGGCACCATCAGCGAGCTGAGCAGCGAAATCACAGAGAAATAAATCTTCATTGAGCGTCTCAGTCCAAGGACGTAGTATAGTATGTTGCACACGCCTGACGCATCTAAGCCTCCCAAGGAGAGGAAGGGGTAGATAAAGAAGAGAAAACGTGGCTCCTTCTCTTCATTGTCATGCAGATCGCAGGCTATCCGCGGCGTCCAAAAATCAAAGTTGCCCACCGACTGTGTGGTTCTGGCGTGGGACGCGTTTGTCTCGGGCTCCCCTCTGTCTACTCCTCGGGCAGCCTCTCCTCATCTCCTCCTGCGCTAAACAAAGCACCCAAAGAGGAGGAGAGGGCGACTGGGTGGCTGCTGAGGGGATGCTGAAGGATGGAGACCTCTAGAGTCTGAAGTTCTCTTACGCAGCCAGAGCATCCTGCAACACACACCGAAAGGCTTTCTGGGAGGGTGTGAGTAGTTGTTTTATGCCTGCTTTAAATAAATTAAAATAAGAATAAAATTGCTTGAAAATAAATATAATTTGATTCCATTCGTGGTTTGATTTATAAGTACAAAATCATGCCATAGTCATGCAGCAAGAATGATTTGTTTAGCAGTGTGAGAAATTACCACTGCAACTGACAAGTTGATTTATGTGGATTTATGTTGATTTAGTTATGGTAACTAAATAATCCGTCCCAATATGATCTGGATATGGGTAAATATGTGTGTATTGTCATGAGTCCAAAACCATTTATTTTATGTCATAGAAGATAGCAACTTGATGACATGTATTGTAGATTTTGTTTTCTGGATTCAGGAGATATTCAAGCATCACAAATGTCTAATGAATTCTGTGGTTTTCAGGCAGATATTCTTTTTTCTACTCTAGATTATTTATATAACAAACACTTTGTCATTTCAAAAACAAGAAATGGGCAAACAATTTTAGATCAGATCAAAATCATACATAAAGGCATGAGTAGATCTTTTCTATATGTATACACTCTATGTTAAATATATTTTACATTTCTTTGTTACATCTCAACACTGTAGTCATCAATACACTTTAGGCATAACTCTGACTAATCTTGGCAGAATTAATTTAAACTGGTTAGTTTTCTGGCACAGACCCAGCTTTTAAACATAGTTCACACATTTTTAATAGGTTTGAAGGGCTTTGGGAAAGCCATTGCAGAAACCACAGCAGAAATTTAATTTAGCCTGCAATTACAGAATCCAAGACCACTTTTGGAAGGGTGTTTATAAGTTGGGTTTTGAGTGTTTGAGTGTCCGTAGTTGTTGCTTGCCTTAGAGTCCTGGAAACCTCACATTATGACAGTTTATAACAGGGAAGATTTGAAGAGGTGTTTTTTTGGGAGAAGATTTTTTTGTTTTGTTTCGTTTTGTTTTTTGCTCCTGGACTGTTTCTAGAAGCAGGAGATACCCAAATGGAAGAACAAAATTATGCAAAAAATACATTTTGCATAATCATGGATCTTTAATGAATGGATTTTATGAAAACACTTTGCAGAAACCTTTTTTATTTTATCATGGAGAGGTGTTTTTATTGCATCATCATGTATCTAACCATTGGACAAATATCTGATAATAAAATTATAATTGTTGCCCCACCAAACGGAACAAATGTAAGCATACTTTTGGCACATATGTCATGCTTTGTTTGTTGTTTTTGTTATTTTTTTAATGATTGAGTTACAATGTGGTATACAGGACATTCAGCGTTAGCTTGTGCTAAATGACATCATTTAGCAAGCCAAAGCATCATTCGGCTTTCTAAATGACGTATCATTTAGCAAGCACAAGACATTATGTACAAAACATTATGTACTTACATTGCCATCATCTGCAATGTTTTTTGTTTTTAACTCTGCATGGTGGCTGCGCTGAAACAATCTCAGTAGTGAGTCAACTTCAGTCTTTGCTATAGTGGGCACACAGCTCTCCTTGTATTGTTCCATGTTTTCTCATTGACACTAGAATCAAATCATAGTCAAACTGGGAGTTGTGGACAGTAATATTGCATGCCATTTATGAGTCTGTACTTGAGTGGCAATGGTAGTTTGTTTGTAGAGCACTTTTAGCCCCAAGGTGCTTAATAGTAAAAAACTAAATCCAGGAAAATTATTTATTTCAGTAATACGTAGTAAATTATGATGAATAACATTCCAGAAATTTAAAATCTAAGCAACAATAAAAAAAATATTACTTTGATTTAAGCCTTAAAACAACATAACAAAGTGCTATGCTTAACTCCAATGTTCACTTACAGTATAGGCCAAAATTTATGGCATCTGTTGTAAAGATATATAAAAGTTTAGACACAAGCACATATTGTGTCATCATAGTATGATTATGTTATACTGAATAATTCAGGCAAAAAAATGAGCATTTTATTAGTGATCATTTCAGAAAAATATAATTGTTTTTTGCCAAAATCACTAGTGCCACTACTGTTAGTACCTAGAACCTTTATTTCGTTTATTTACTTATTGAATTAAATTCATGTAAATGAAGTTTTACAGCAGTAAAAAATTCAGGGTCATTCTATCTTCATAAACAAACAAAAACAAATCGTCATGTAGATTTAGATTTTTTCTCCCTTTGTAATAAAAGTCTTCAATTAACAACTGCATTTTGAACTTTTTTGTGTTGCCTTTTGCTAATATTTAAATAGCAATAATGTTCTTTAGTGTGACAGAAATACAAAAATAATTTGAATTTAGGAACATGGTGCAACACTTTTTCACACCGCTGCAGGGCAACATGAAGTTCCTGAATTTCCAGAATTTTTTTTTGTACAAATCAGGGAAATATACCATCAGTGATTTAGTTTTATTTGCATAGTATTTGTGTAGTACATCTAAAAGTTTTATAATTAATTTTCAGTAAAAGTGAATAGTGTGACCAAGGTGTTTTGTTATTCCGAAAATTATTTTTTGTACAATATACTTGTGAAAATCTACATGAACTGAATCACGTGTTGAGTTCAAAACATCATGTTTCTGTTCTATTTATATTTTGTAAGCTACAATGATTCATGACTGTGATCAAAGCCGGTTCAAAATCTGTTTAGATCCAGAAGGCATGTTCGTATTTGCTTAATATCTTTTTTAAATTTGTCCACAAGCTTCTCAGTCTTGGGATTATTCAATCAATCTTTTCAAACCTGCCACACTGCATTTATCTCTTGAGAGGATTTTTGGTGGGATGTTTTACAAGAGCAGCATGGTCCAAGTTAGGTAAACAAACAGCGAAATGAGAAGTACAGCTATGCTCTGAAGGCTGCTCTTGGGCCTGGAGACAAATTAATCCTCCACTCTTCTCTGTCTCAACAATCAACAGAAATAACAGAAGGATTTTAACTCGCCTGTGGTTAGTCTGCTTTCTCGCATTCTCTTTCAGCCCTCAAGTGGCCCACTCTCCAGCAGTAGCCTTGCTCTTCCCCTTTTCATTCAATAACTACACTGTAAAAACTAATCTATAGAATTTACCTAATAAATCTGAGGTAACAATTTACATTGACTCTTTTGGGGTAGATTCAATTCCTTATATTGAGTATAAAATAACTGAACAAAAAATATATGAAATACTTAAAGAAATTGGGTAAAATTTACCTCATATTTATGTATTTATTCAACAGCTACTTACTCCGTTAAATTAGGTAAAACTATGTCTTGTATGCTAGTAGGTAATACAAACCTCTGTGGAGGTTGGATAATTACAAATCAAAGTTAATTAAAATCAGTTAATAACCATTACTTATTCAGAGAAGGTAAAATGTACCCCCCAAATAGACATTCAGATCATACACCTTCTCAATGTTTCCATAAAGTCATCAAAAACACAGAATTAACTGCAACACAACAGTGTCACACAACATTTCAAATAATGAACCTGTGTTATAACCTAACAACTTCAAATGTTGTTTTAAGTAATGTTGGACGATAAAACATATCCCTGTTTTAGGACATCCAGACTGCTCAATAAGAAAGTAGATCAGAGAAAAGGAGAAGTGAGGAGAGAAGAGAAAATGAAAGGAGAGAAGAGAAAATTAAAGAAGAACAGATCAGAGCAGAGGTGCAAGTGATGTCCAATCACATGAAGATTTTCTTGTATCTAAAGAAAAAATGAATAAAGTGCAGTACAACAGCTTCACACATTTCAATGAATAAACCCGTTTTATAACTCACTAAGCTAACGGCTTCAAATGTTGTTTCTGGATAATTGGTCAATGCAAACAACAGTTTCAGAGGCCCCTTATTCTATTTTAAAAGCCGCAAAATCCACACACAAACTCTACAAGATTGTTTCTGTGTGTGTACAGTATCAAACATCTGGATAAAGACAGATCAGAAAATCAACATTCTTTAGTTTCTGTGCTTGCTCTCACTCTCAGACATAGGATGAGAATAAAAGAAACAAACACAATCACATGAGGGGGGGAGGTGAGTTCAAAATTCTTCAGGATTCACTCAGTGGTATTGACCAGACTAGCTTGGAAAAAAAAACATTCACAAGCTGACATGCACGCATACTTGCTCCTCTCATGATCGCTTGCAACACAATAGTAAATGGACTCATGCATGTTGGCACAAACAGCCGATGATAGGCAGAAAGTGCAACAAATTAACAACATAATTCTGGATGTTGCAAGAAGCAGCAATGCTCTGTGAATGACATAGTATTGGTGTGGCTTGGTATTTTGTTTGTAATTCCATTCTGTTCCTTTTTACTTTCCTCGTCCTGTCTGTCTTTATATTTTTTCAGCAGAATGTAAAAGGTCACCGTCTCATTGCAACTCTCCTCTGTGGAGGTTGGTATTCAGAACAGAGCTGTAGAACAGAGGAGTGAAGTGCACAAGGGAAAAGCAGCTGTGAAACAACCTCAAATGGCTGAGTTTCAAAGACATACTTCACTCTTCCTGTCATGACAGTTGCATTGTAATTTGAGATGTAAAAATGCCATGGTACATAACCAACAACTGGCCACTTTATTAGGTACATCTAGTGGCTCAGCCAATTACACAGCAGCAACATTTTGCATTTGGACATCTAGCTAAGATTCAAACTGAGCATCAGAATGGAGAGGAAGAGGGGATTTAACCATGACCATGAAAATGGTGTGGCTCTTTATTCTAATAACACAGAAAATTAAGAATTTTAAAGCACAACCGTCTCTGAGGTTTACGTAGAATGGTTCAAGCCCACTTTTCTACACAGGTCTGCAGTTAGATTAAACACTTCGCAGCACTGAGGTTTTTGGATTTGCTCTATTACCTATTTAGTGGATAACATGACTTTAGGCCCAGATGCATTTTGATTGTAATGACTGCATTATAGTTCACTTGTCTTGCAGACACTCTAGATGGGGCCACATGAGGCAACCTGTCTGCATTTG